AACACGATGGTAAGGAGTGCAAAATAATATCTATTTCTAACTCCTCGGAGAAGTTCACATTCAATTTCAGCAAACGGTCCACATACGTTTGCATTTTCAGCATGTGGCTCGTGATGGGTTCACCATCCTTCATCCGGGTTGTTATCATAGAGGAGATGATTTCATATTGCTCTTGACGAGCACTTTGATGGTAGCGGTACATAAAATCCTAGGGCATCTCAAAAGGATAGTAATCCTTATAGGAATTTTGGAGCTCGGCTGGCGTAGTGGCCAACATGATGCATGCCACTTTGGTAGCATATCTTTTATGTGCTTTATATTCAATGACCTCCTCAGGAGAGGCAGACGGCTCGGGTACCTTAAGCTCCTTTTCAAGGACATATTCCTTGTCCTCATACCGAGTGACCATCTTGATGTTCCTGATCCAATCCATAAATTTGAATCCATCAAAGATGACTCTCCCACAAAGGTTTATGAGAGAGACGGAGCCGGTAGGGTTAGAGCCTGAAGCAGCATTATTGGAAGACATCTGAAAAGAAGAAAACAAGTTTAGATTAGATATAAAGATAGTCCTTAATAAAACACCCAAATGTAATATTAAGGCTAGGATTCAATCATAATATATTATAACCTAGAAGAAGGATGTCTTAATCTAAGTTATAACATATTTGAAAGGTAGGTGAATGACGATTCGCCAATTTCCACCATGAAAAATGAAATATAAATTATTTGGTTTTTTAATTGGTTTTTAGAAACTCCTAGATTCTTTTGAGATTCATTGAACTTTTCAATGGTATGTTTCAATCTCGAGTGTTCCCTTCATGTTTTGTGACTGGGATGTCGAGGATCACAAAACAAGGTGTGAAGTAACCATGCAAATTACTTAGTACCCTTAATGTTTTTCACTCAATCGATGTGCCGGTTAACCATACGCACTCCACCGACCTATGAAAAACCTTAAGTCACCCTTTGCATGCCTTGTTAAGTCCAATTTAGTGTTCCGGTTAACCACACACGCTCCACTAACGACTTAATCAAAGTGCAAAGTATAATTTCATGGGTTAGCATCTTATTCACATTTTCCTAAGTAACTAAGATTGGGAATTTATAAAAACATTTAGTTAATTTATAATAATCATTATACTTTTAATTAGAATTTTTAAGTCACTGTCCTACCCGTTCGGCTAACGACCCTTCACCGATCAAGGAAGCGGTGGGTGAGAGTGGACACCCATTAAGCTATCATTTTATAGGCAACAACCTTATACCCCCCTTATAGACCGGCTTCGTAAATGAGGCCTACTAACGGTAAAACGACTTGATCTCATACATATATATATATATATATATATATATATATATATATATATATATATTATTAACTTATAATATTATAGAGTATAAGGGTTGAATTTTAACTTTTAAAATTCTAGGGATTGGAACTAAATTTTACTAGATGACTTTACATGTTCTAAAACTCGAGGCAAAGTTTTGTAACTTTACAAAACTTTTCAATTCATAACTTATGAGTTATTGTTTATTAAAAATGAAGACTCTTCATTTTTTGTAACTTATGTGTTCTTTTAATGGATTTATTACAAAGTGACTTTTGGTTATTGATATGGGCATATTTAGTTATAAAATTCATGCATGATCTTAATACTTTATGCTGATTTTGTCTCATTTAATGAACAAAAGGTGCTTAATTAGATTAAATATTTCATTTTCAGCAATAAAGACATGCTCGAAAGGAAAATGAAGCGGAACTAGCTATTGGAAGCTTGGATCTTGGATTTGAAGAAAGAAGGATGTTGTTGGACAGCTTGACCCCTTGTCAGTGTTTTGGCCATATCTCATGAACCGTAACTCTGATTGACGAGATTCAAAATGTTCTGAAAAGTAGACACAATTTCGGACGACTTTCGTGTTTTGAGAAAATGCTGATTCGAAACGTACTCGGGGAGTAGGGTCGATTACTCGATGAGTTGTATCGAACTTTCACGATTCTGGACGCGTTGACTTGCCGTATACGGGTTTTAAATGATGGACTCACCAAGTAGGTCATTGGACTTGCCGAGTAGCCCCTGTTTTGTAAAAATCTATATAAAGGGACTTTCAGATCGATACCCTAGTATATAGATGAACCCTTGGAGGCCAATTGTCGACTAAAGGTGCTGTTGGAGCGTGGGAAGCAAGGGAATCAACCCTACATTCAACTTTAAGGAGAATCAAGTCAAAATCAAGTTTACTCTTACCTAATCTCTTGTTTGAACTATGTTTTTACCAATTGATTTCGTTTTTGGGCTTGTTTCTGCCGTAATCATGAGCTAAAAACTCATAACTTCTGTTTAGGTAGATGAATTTATGAACATTGATTGATTATTTGATTAGGATTAATTTTAATTGGTGATTATATTTTATTAAGCTTGTTAAAGAACCTTATGTGTTAACAATAACTATTCTTCTGTTAATAAATTAGTAATTAAGTTGTATGAACATCTCTTAGTTATTAATTTCATATGATTTATTGTGACCACATAGTTGTATGTCTAGGAATAACGAATGTGAAACTAGAATTAACTTGAAGATAGGTAAGTTAATGTGTGAGCTTGTGTGATACACCATCAGCAAGAGGTTAATTGAATCACCAATTTGATTAACTATTACAAGTCTTATTTAACCTGAATCAATAACTAGGAAATCTGTTGATTTAGACAACTGGCCACTGCTTGAGTTAATTTGTTTCCTAAGGATTAGTAATAGCAAATGTGGAAATAATCATCTTAGTCGGTAGCTAATGAAGAATTAATCCGATACATTGAAATCATCCATGGGAACAAATGAGTCGAACCTAAACAGAAGTCCTCTTTATTATTGAATTTAATTGATTTTTATTAGCTTAGCTCTTAGTTTCTTAGTTTAAGTTTTAGTTAATTGTTTAAATTTCTAGTCTTGCAAAACTAGAGAAAACTCTTTCTATTACTTGTTTTATTTAGATTATATTAGCATCTATTTTAATTGTTTACCGTTCCCTGTGTTCGATACCCTACTTACCTGAACTAAATTGCTAATCAATAGGTACGCTGCCTTTCGTGTGTTTGTCTTTGTGTTTAAGTTAGTAGGATTAAAACTAGTTGGTTTTACACACATCAGTTATCCATAACTTGAGGACAAGTTATGGACTCCACTAAAACACATCATGATCAAGAATTAACTACCAATCAATAGCACATAATTCCTATGATCTTGCAAGAACTCATAAGAACATGAATATTCATATCAAAATTTCAAGAACATATGAACACATATAAACATGGAATTTTGATATTAGCCATTGTAAATGAATTAGAACAACCATTACACCATCTAAAACAAGTTTTAAAACACCAAAACAGTTTAGGGTAATGTTTCTAGTCCATTTCCAGTAGAAAAAATCGAAAATATACACTCTGCCTGGCCAACTCGTCGAGTGTAGGAACTGACTCGCCGAGTTGGTTGAAGATACGCTTGGACTCGTCGAGTCCCCCCATGGACTCGGTGAATCCCCTGTGCAGACAGCAAGAATTTCGACTTTTTCAGCTATTTTGCATCAAGTAATAAACAAATAAACCTAGGCTCTGATACCACTGTAGGCTTTTGAGCATTCTAACACTCCTAAGGTATTCATGCAACCTTAGAAACCTTGGATCTATGTTTGACTAAGATACATGCAAAATTGATTTTCCAAAGTTCATAATCCTATGTAGCATACATGGGGAACTTTTAAACATAAAAGTAAGCTAGAAAAACATACCTTGTAGTAGTTTGGATTCCTTGAAAAACCTTGAGAGCCTAGCACCCCAAGTGTGATGCCTCAAATGTCTCACACAACACCAAATGCACTTGGAATAAACTTGAGAGAAATCTCACACAACTTGAAATCGGCTAGCCCTCTTCTTTCTTGCTTAAGTCCGATTTTGGTGAACATAAGGGTCCTTATATAGTGTGTTACAATTGGGGTTACACCATGTAAACCCTAATTGACATAACCTTTCATTTCCATGAACCATGGGTTATATAACCACCATGGAGCATCCTATGGGTTTTAGCCCAAATTGATAATCCATGAATCATTAGCCCACTATACAAGTATGAGTGATTTACACAATCAACCCATATATTTAATTAGTTACCTTTTTTATCACTGAATTAATTCTAAATTAATTCTTGATCAATACTAATTAAATAATATTATTAATATATTAGAACTTATAATATATTAAAAAACCATAAATGTTATTTCTCTCATTTTAGTCTATCCAAATGCATGATGTCATGCAACCCAAATGGACCATGCCAACCGAGCCAAGTACATACCACAAATAGTTATGAACTTACATACCTTATCCAACACCTATCACGACGTGGTGACCTGCTCATCACGTCGTGACGATAGTTTGGATCAAGACTGAGTTGGTTGGGTTGGATCGTGACCGAGTTGGGATTGGGTTGAGTGTGTTTCTCACAACATGACCATAGGTTGTTCATGATGTGAGGGCCAACTAATGGAAATGTCGACCGTTAACTTTGACATTGATCGTTAACTTGTTGACTCGGGTTCACTTTTGGTTAAAATTCTAGTTCTAGAGTATAGACTAAGGTTAGACCTTTTTTGATTTGATAGGTGTATTGTAGCACCGTTTGCATGTCAGTTTTTTTGTGGTTTACTTAACTTCATGAGACAAGTGAGTCTTCTCACTATACTACATAGGATGTTAGTTGTCTTTGTGATACGTGCATAAAAGACCATGGGGGTAGCCTTTGGCAACTGTATGAAAGACCATGAGGTAGCCTATGTCAATTGCATGAAAGACCATAAAGGTAACCCATGACACTTGGATGTCAGAGCATGTGAGTAACCCTAGTCGTGTCACGAACACAAGTTTATCCTAAAACCCTCTTTCATATAAATTTAAATAATTAAATAAACATACCTCTGGAAACAAAGGTTACATACACGTATAATTTGAATGAACACTACATGTTTACTTTCTCATCGACTCATTACACTAGTTATGGTAGCTATGCAAGATCTTATCAGTTATTCGAGTAAATATCTTCGCAACGTCTCCTTAATTTTATGGCTGATTGAACCAATGCACCACTTGTTTTCATTGATTGAGCATAAATGATCTGGTTTGATGCATATATAGCTGTTTAAGAATTGATGGATATGTTTGTTGATCTCGTCAGGTTTTTCTTCATGAAGAAAATGCCCTACACCTTGAAGGACGGTTACATCGTCTAAAAGAGGCACATCTTTTTTAAACCCTCCTTTTTCTATATAGTCTCTAGCACCCATCGAGTTGTAGGTCAGGTCAAGGTCGCCCACGATGAACTTAACAGGCACCTTCACTTGAGCTCCGGTCCATGGACCAGTTAGCTCCCAGTTCCTGTAAATCAACAAAAAGGTTTTATTTATTTATTTATTTATTTTTTTCCATTTTCACTACTTTAAACTAAGTTCAACTTAGTTAGTTCGAATCTAACTTACAAGTTCAAAGCTCGATAGTAGTTTAGACCTCCGGTGAAGCCAGTTTTCTCGAATTTGCTGGAGTAGTATTCAAGATCTTCTTTGGACATCCATGAAGGCAAGATTATGGGATCATCATCTGAGGTTCCAAACCCAATACCCTTCGGTAGAAAAAGGGGGGCAGGTTTGCGATATTTGAAGAAATCATTTAATACTCTATATGTACCCCATTCCGCAAATTCACCTTCGATTTCTCCGGGTTCCTAAAACATAGATTCATATGCATATACAGTGGTGAAGGATGGTTCAAGTGACGGAGATGGTTGTGTGTGGAACGTGGTGAAGGTGTTGTTGATGGGAGAATTAAAGAAAGATAACCTGGAATCTGATGATGTAGTAATCATTTCCATAGAGAGCACGAAGTCCATCAATAGGTTTGAACTTAGGATTCCTTGGACTGAAAGGAACACTCATACTCACCAAGGCCTTTACTTTATCCTGCCGATAAAGACACAAAGCCCAAGCAATCATTGCACCCCAGTCATGTCCCACCACAAACACCTTGTCCTCGCCCGAAGCAGCCACAATGTTGATGAGCGCCACCAGGTCTCCAACCACATGAAGGGTGGTGAACTTGGTGGGGTCGGAAACAGGAGCACCAGTGGTGTCACCGTAGCCACGGAGATCAGGTGCCACAGCACGGTAACCATGTGAGGCAAGATAGAGTATCTGGTGGCGCCAGGTGTACCAGAGCTCTGGGAAGCCATGGATAAAGAGGATCGTTGGTCCTGTGCCAAGCTCTGCTACGTGCATGTTTATGCCGTTCACTGCTACCATCTTGTGTTGTATCTTTTCCATTTTTACTATTTCGTGTGTTCGTTGTGGTTTTTTGTGTGTATATGTTTGTGAATTCTAGTGTGCATATATGTTCCAGTAAGACGTGGGAGATGTAAAGATGGTCATCTACACGCAAAGCATTTAACAAATTTAAAACATAAAGAAAGTATGTTCTTTAAGTACAAAAAGTAATAAGATATTAATTTTTCTATTCTAAACAGAATTATGTGTGAATTATTTATGAAAAAAGACAAAATTAAAATCTAATGCATTAAACTTACATATTATAATTTCATTTTCATATAACTTTTCATATATATATATATATATATAATATATATATATATATATATATATATATATATATATATATATATATATATATATAGGCGTAGATTATATTATTCAAACTAATTATTGTGTGGATATCATTTGCTGTGAGAATTACTAAGAGAATAAGTTGTTTAGCAATGTGAATATGTTGAATCTTAGATAACAATTGTCAATAACATACATTATCACTAATTAAATCGTCTATAAAGTTATTATATACTTATTATTATTATTCTCATTTCTATTAGAATGTTTGTCTGAATGTTTATTTGGTCGTATTCTGTCAGAATGAAAATGAGTGAAAAATGATGTGTGAGAACAAAAATAAATAATAATTAGTAAGAATGCATTAAAATGACGATATTTTTATAAGATTAAATGTATTCGCATTGCTAAACAACTTATTCTCTTAATAATTCTCATAGCATACGATATCCGCACAATAATTAGTTATAATAGTTGAACCTACTTTTATATATATATATATATATATATATATATATATATATATATATATATATATATATATATATATATGTCAAATATTTTATATTAAAAAATTCTTTTTTTTTCTTATAATTAAACTCAATATATATCAAACGGAGTTGATTTTAAACTCTTGAATGTCAACTAAATATTTTATTCCGGTTATTAAATTAAACTATACATTATGAATACTTTATGATGGAATATTTCCGAGATGTTAATAAACAAGATGTACTTTTATTTATTGACAATATCTTCCGTTTTGTCCAAGCAGGATCTGAAGTATCCGCCTTGTTGGATAGAATGTCTTCCGTTGTGGGTTATCAACCTACTCTTAGTACCGAAATGGGTTCTTTACAAGAAAGAATTAGTTCTACTAAAGAAGGGTCGATAACTTATATTCAAGCGATTTGACCAACCCTCCTCTTGTATTGAAACATAAAATTGTTGACTAATCTCGCTAACATTGAACTTTGTAAAATGAAATGATTGAATAATTGAAAAATAAGGTTATTCAAGAATACACATTGAATGTTGAAATTACGCATTGAATTTATGTTAGTAGATCCATAATTAAAGAAGTATTTGTGAGTATTGCAGAAGAAATGATTATGAATACTTTAAAAAGATTTCCCCAAAACCATCTAACTTTCAAATGCTAATTTTTTAGTCAAAAAAATATTAAATTTTAAAAAATTACTTAATAAAACTAATTATTTAACAATCAAAAGTTTGTTTTAAATAATTATCTTGTTGTCAATTAAAACTCTTCATGTCGTATAAAAAAGTACTTAATATTTTGGTTCCCTTGTAGTTTGGCAACTAAAACAACCATAAGGGATGGATGTGTGTTTGAAGAGGGATTTTTTCTGAAATTATAGAATATGATCATCATATTTATGAAAACACTCGCAAAAATCTTTTTTTTTTTTTTTTTTTGTGTGTGATATATATTTATAATACATTCAACAGTTATATTTAGGTAGTCACTCACAAATCACAATTGTGATAAACAATTTCCTTTAAAATAAATACTTATGAAAGGGTTACAGATGGTTCTCATTTAGGTAGTCACTCACAATGTGGAGCCTTGTTTCACATTAGCAACATGACGTTAGGTTTTCTTTTATAATAAAACTGATCTAGCTATTGACATGAACATACAAAACTACTTAGTAATAATAGGATTATATATGGCAAAGCCATTACATGTATTTTTCATAAAAACAAATATTACAATACACGTATGAAAACCACAACTACCTTGACTAAATCAATCTTAAGTAAGATAAAACTTGTAAACTTTTATTCATTCGACATCAAACTACCTTTTTTTATTTTCTCTTTTAACTCCAACTTCATTTTCTACTGTTTTGTGGCGTATCTTTGAACTTTAAGTGCATTTCAACAGTCAAATCTTTGTAGATTTGTCGTGTCAAAGCATCATCTATCCATCCAAATTATTTACGGTCTTTCATATTGCTCTTTCAAAAAACTACAATAAACATAGAGCAATTTTTGTAAAAAAAAAAAAAAAAAAAAAAAAAAAATCAACTCGTTACACTACCTACTTGGACATTTTAAACACAGCCCTTAAAGTAAGGGCGTCCCAAAAACCTTATATTGTGGTTGTTTAAAGTTCCAAACGTAAATAATAAAACTTTCACTCCATAATGACATATTTGGATTTCATCATTTTTATCAACCACTTCTTTTTGTAGCTTGTTTATATGACCTCACAACAAAACCACATGAAAATGTCATAATGGTCATTATAAAACAGAAAATTTACCAAATGTTATTTCGCTGTTATTAAGGTTAAATCCTTGGAACATGTCATTTCATTGTGTTTGCTTCCTCAGGACATGCTTCTTGCTCTATTTTCACTTTTTCTCTGTACAATCCCATCTCTCTTTCCTAAAAAAACCATACAAAATGTTGTTATTGTGCTTAAGGTCTTATCAGATGAATGGGATCAGTGGTATGGGATTCAAAAAGAAGCACGCTCACATTAGTATGAAACATGAAACCTTCAATCATTTTCTCTTTCTCTTTGCAGTCCATCTCACATCTCCCAAAAAAAACCCTAGACCACCTCGGTGACCACCATCGCACCATCACTATAGCACCAAATCAACACCGTTGCTGCCACATGGTCTCATTCTTTCTCCCTATTTGATAGTCGATTCATAGAAATTCAATTTAATCTTTTTTCTAATAGTTACTACTCTCGGTGCTAGGGTTATGAATGTACGCCTTACATTATCGAGATTCAAGAGTTACCCCTCGACCTTACACACACATAACTTTGGAATCGATAGTCGACCCTCTGGCCTTACATCTTTGAGTTTCAAGCTACAACCTTGGGAAATCAAAGGTATGTTTGTTTTTAAAGCCTTTTTTTTTAAGATTCAAGCTACAACTTTGGGAAATCAATGATATGTTTGTTCTTTTCAGTGTTTTTCTAGATTCAAGCTACAGCTTCAGGAAATAAAGTGACAATTTGTTTTTATATTTCAGACTTCAAGTCCATGGAAATGGGAAGCTCTCATGAGCTGCTATAAAAAATTATTTGTTGGAAGGTCATGCTTTTGTCAGCTTTTAGATCCTGAGAGAAGTTATCATTGTGTAACGTCCTAAAACTCAAAACCAAAATTTTTTGTTTTTATATTAATTAAACCATCAACCAAACATATTTGTCAAAAACCATAAAGTAATCATAGTGTATCCAAAAACATCCTAAAGTACATCAGATTGAAATAAGCGGGAAATCATGGGGTGTGCAATGTGATCATCCCGAGCTCTTCCCCTTTGAACCGGAAGTACCTGAAACATTAATTGAAAACCGTAAGCATAAAGTTTAGTGAGTTCCCCGAAATACCACATACTATATATATATATATATATATATATATATATATATATATATATATATATATATATATATATATATATATATATATATATGTCAGATCAAGGCAGTACCAGGTCTATTTCAGCCCCGAGTCTATTTCAACTCATATGTCAACACAAGGTTGTAACGGGTCTATTTCACCCCAAGTATATTTTAACTCATATTCAGCACAAGGTTGTACCGGGTCTATCCCCCCCCCCCCCCTACGCCCCTGCGCGCGCATCTACTTTACCCCCCACATAAATATAGCAAACAAGCATACAACACATATAGCAGGAGTTATAAAGACTACAAGCACATACAATCCCTAGTGTCCTACAGTAGAGTGAGCAAACTTACCTCAGTCTGTTGAAATTCAAATAGATGATCGGGCTGTTGAACCGGAGAATCCCCGTACTAACCAGTCAAATAGAACCCTAATTAATAATTGGGTCATAAACCATAATATTGACTTTAATTAAATAATCCCCACTCCCAGGGTAAAAGACCATTTTACCCTTCCCTTAAATGGCCTAAAAGTCGAGGCCCAAATAATGGTCCAATCCCTAAAGGACACTCAAATCCCTATATGGGCCCATATCCAAGAAAACCCAAGGCCTAATAGTAGCCCAAAATCAAAAAAAGAGTGTGGCCCAACAAGTGCCCAAAACCTAAAAGCCCAATAACGGCCCAAAAGTCAAAAGCCCATACTGGTCACGTACACTAAACGTTCCCCTAGTACATATGACGTACTAGAACTCATGCATAGGACCAAAATATGCTCAAAACAAACCCTGGACTATATCTAACCATAGAGTCATCGAGATAAAAGCTTTATACCTTAATGAAGCTGAGAAATAAGAGTAGATTCTAGATCTACAAGCTCCTACTTAATCAAGGCTCCATCTCCAAGTTTTATCTTCTTCAAGGCTCACTAAACACCCACTAAAACACACACAAAGGGTTAAATATCTCTAGTGAGCTAGGGTTTCGAAAAGGGGCTCAAAAGGGCAATGGAGGTTGGGAAATGAGAGAACCTTGGGACATAAGGTTGCTTAAATAGTCCAAACCCTAAAATTAGGGTTTGTCCACTGATTACATAAGCCCAACATACGCACTCCCCTCTTAAAAATTACAATAATGCCCCTAAGGACCAAAAATGCAAACTAATTACACACCAAGGTTCAAAATGAAAAATACCTTAAATCGGGTGTTACACATTGCTTTACTTATTTGCTTACAGAACCAATATGTAACACCCAAAAAAATCAAGCCAATTTAAAACTTTTTCAACCATCCAAAACCATTAAGTTATTACAAAGTGTTTTCAAAATATTTTAAACATCAGAGTATCCCATTAATCCAGATCATAAAAATACGAGGAGGTGTACGATCACGCCTTCGCCTTTC